TATGGTGACTAACATAACATAATAAAATTAAAAACTACAAAAATAAAAAATAAAAAAATAAAATGTTAAACACTAGGTTACTATATAACTTTCCTAGGTGTATACTCAAGAGAAATGTAAACATTGTGTCTACATAAATACTTGTATGTGAATGTTCATAACAATGCTATTCACAATAGCCAAAATGTAGAGACAACCCAAGAGTCCATCAACTGATGAATAAGTAAATAATATGGTATATCTGTAGAATGGATATTTCTTTGGAAATAAAATTAGTGCTACAAAATGGATGAGCCTTGGAAAACATTTTGCTAAATGAAAGAAGCCAGACACAAAATATCACATATTTTATGATTCATCTATGTAAAATGACTAGAATAGACAAATCTATAGAGACAGAAAGTAGATTTGTGGTTGCCTATTGCTTTGGGTTCTGCTGAGAAATGGTCAGTGACTGCAAATGGGTGCAAAGTTTCTTTCTGGGGTAATGGAAATTTTCTTAAACTAAGTGTGGTTATGGTTGCCCAATCCTTTAAATACTAAAGCCACTGAATTACATAATTTTAAAAGGTGAATTTTATAGTATATGTATTATATCTCAATAAAGCTGTTATAAGAATCAATGAAATCAATTCTCCTTACAACCAAGGAAATAAAAAGTGTATTAGTATCTCAATTAATGGAGGAAAAGCATATGACAAAATTCAACATATATTTGCAATAAAACCTTTCAGCAAACAACAAATAGAATGGAACTTCCTTAACATGATAAAAGACATCCATAAATAATCTATAGCATCATATTTAATCATGAAAGACTGAATATTTAAAAATAGTAAGAATGACCTCTCTCACCACCACATTTCAGCATCATACTGGAAATGCAAGCCAGGTTAATAGGAGGGAGGAAAAAAGGAAAGAAAAATCTAAAGTGCAAAGAGAGAGAGAAGTTGGGATAAGAAATAAAGACACTAATGATGGCGGAGATGAGGAAAATGATGATGATGATGATGATGTGAAGAAAAGCAGAGAGATATCCGGGACAAGAGGTGCTGCATGACAGCTCTGGTATTCCCCACTTTATTGCCTTGCTTCTTGCAGCAGGTCCTGGAATGACAGCTGGATCCTATAACTTTGTCTCATGGCAGTTCTGCTAGGTGACAGTGGTAAGAGGAAATAGCCCAAGAGAGGTCAAATTCTTATGGTATAACAGGGCTGGGTTAGGCCTCAATGGGGACCCTGTACCTCCTAAGTCAGGTGATTTTGCCCTGAAGGAAGGAAAAGTTCCAACTTATCCATTGTCATCGGCTCCAACTGTAACTGAACATAGCTAGAAAGTGGCTAAAAATGGAGGTAACAACACAGGCAGAAGTGCGGTTTGACAATTTGACCTCTGAAATTCTGTCCAATCCCATGATTCTCATGTATATAATGTACGTTTCATAAAATGCTATCTTAAAACTCATAATTTTATTAAGTCTCCATTTAAGGTATTTTATACTCACATAAATAATAGCAATAAAATCAAAAGAGAAAAAAAAGGAAATTGATTATAGAAGACTCCTCAAAAAGGCCTACATATTTGTAAGTAAAAAATAAAACTCTCAAAAAAAAAATCTCTCTCCGTTTACAGACCATATGATTGTCTATGTAGAAAATCCCAAAGTATCTGCAAAAAAAACCTCCTAAAGCTAATAAATGAGTTCAACAATTTTGCAGGGTATAGAGCCAATATACAACAGTTGGTGACATTTCTATATACAAATACTAAACAAATGATATAAGATTATTAAAAATTACATTCATATTAGCACCAAAAATGTGGTACTTAAGAATAAATCTAATAAAATATGTGCAGGATCTGTGTGCAGAAAAATATAAAACACTGATGAAAGAAATCAAAAGCCTAAGTAAATGGAGAGATATAACGATGATTAGTTAGAATACTAATAGTGTTGGGACATCAGTTCTTCCCAGTCTGATCTAGAGACTGAACAAAATCCATCAAGAGTTTTGTAGATATCAACAAGCTCATTCTAAAATATGTACATAAAGTCAGGGTAAAATAGAAGAGCCAAACATGTATATTAAAGGAGTAGAGAAGAAAATAACATTGGAAAAGTCACACTATCAATTTCTAGACTTATTCTAAAGCTCTGTAATTGAGAGAGTGGGTTATTACAAAAAAAAGGGGGGGAGTTTATGTGAGATGATGAATATGTTAATTGACTTGATTGCAGTAATTCTTTCACAAAATATACATATATTAAAATACCATATTGCATACCTTTAAAAAATCATGTTATACAACTCAAATATGTATCATGTTTTTGTCAACCATGTATCAATAAAGCTGGGGGGAAAAAAGAGGATTTTGGTGAAAAGATAGACCACTTGTTCAGTGGAACAACATAGAAAGGGTCAAAATAGATGTACACAAATGTAGTCAACTGATTTTGGACAAAGGGGCAAAGGCAATTCAAAGAAGAAAGGATAGACTTTTTAGCAAATAGTATCAGAAAACTAGACAACTATTTGCAGAGAAACAAATTTCAATACAACCTCATACCTTAAACAAGAGTTAATTCAAAATGGGCCATAGACCTAAATGTAAAGTGTAAAATTCTAAAATTTACAGAAGAAAGCACTAGAGAAAATCTACATTGGTTTGGCAAAGAGCTTTAGACATAGAACCCACAGCAGAATCCATAAAATAAAAAAAATAATGGCACTTCATCACAATTAAAAACTTCTGCTTTGTGAAGAATACAGTTAAAGGTCTAAAAGTACAAGCCACAGAAAGGGAGAAAAATATTTACAAATCACATAGATGAAACCCTCAAAACTCTAGAATAAGAAAACATGGACCCAGGGTTTTTTTAAAGGCAAATATTCAGAAAAGACACTTTAACAAAGAAAATATACAGATGACAAACATGTTTATGAAAAGATGTTCAGCATCATTAATCACTAAGGAGATACAAATTAAGACCACAATGCAACTGGTTAGTGTACACCAATGAGTGTGGCTAATAAAAAATAAAATCGTGACAATACCAAATGCTGAGGAGGATCCAGAGCAAATCAATCTCTTGTACATGCTGGTACACTTTGCAAACTGATCCCAGATTTCTTTCTTTTTTTAAAAAGTTTTTTTTTAAGATTTAATTTATTTATTTGACAGAGAAAAACACAGCGAGAGAGGGAACACAAGCGTGGGGGGGGGTGAGAGAGGGAGAAGCATGCTTCCTGCTGAGCAGGGAGCCCTACCGGGCTGGATCCCAGGACCCAGGGACCATGACCTGAGCAGAAGGCAGACGCTTAACGACTGAGCCACCCAGGCGCCCCCCAGATTTCTAAGAGATTAGAAAAAAGATGAAGGAAATAAAGAGTGCTAATATTTTGCTGCAAAACTTGGAGAATGAGAAGTGGATTTAAGGTGGATTGTTTTATTCAAATGAATTCTCTGAATTTTACACGATTTCCACACTGTGCATGCAATTCTTTTGTAATCAGTGGAAGAATTTAAAAAGAGAGGAAAAAAGAAAAATATCCTCAAGATGTAAAGTCTGGTAATGACCAGATACTAAAAATTATATAGATATTGGGTCAGGATGGCAGATTGAGGCGCGTTTCTCTCGTCCTACTTCAAATCCTTTTTAATGACAGGAAAGGCAGGTTTCGGTATATAAAGAATAACTCCAGAAGGGCACGGGGAAAAGAAAGGGCAGATTCTTGGAAGATGGAAGCAGATGGGGTAAGGGCACTGAGGTGGGGGCTGTGGTGAGAAGACTAGGGGCCCTGAACTGAAGAGGGGGCGCCGGGGGCGGGGGATTGTGGGCCCAGAGGCTCCCTACTTTGGAAAGGGGCGGAGCTGGGAGCCAAGGAGAGCCTCCCAGGTCCAAGGCAGTGGTGGGTGTGAGTCTTGGGGATGGGGTGGGGGAGTGCGGTGTTTGGCAGGAAGGGGAGGCCTCTCTCCTGGCAGGAAGCTGCGCTACGGGAAGAGGGAGGAGACTGCGGCGGCGGCAGAGGCTGGTGGGAGCCAGATGTGGCAGTGCAGCTGCCGCCAACAGTGAGGCTGAGGGCCCGTGAGCCGTGAGCCGAGTGCTGGGGACACCGCATCAATCCGCTTCACCTTCCTCACTGCCCTCCAACACACGCTTCCCGTCTACGGATCCTCCCCTCTCAGCTCGTGCAAGCACTCCGCTCATCGCCTGCTGATCCTCTTTCACCACTGGCTCACAGCGGAGGCAGCGCTGCAAGGTGTCCCATTTGGGCACGTGAGGGCCGCGATCCCCGGACTTGGGGAGGTGGGCCCTGGACTAGAAAACTGGAGGTTGGGGGTTGGTGGGTGCCCGGCGGGAAAATTGGGGTCGGTGCTCCGATGGGTGATGAGGGAGACTAAGAAGGGTAATTTGGGAACTGTGGTATGTGTGTTGGGGGGAGCTGAAGAGCACCTGAATGATGTACAAAAGTAGCCAGGCATGAAAATACATTTGTTGTAGGCGCTCAACAGGAATATGGGGATGACCAGGAAGAAACATGAAGGAGAGATGAACACCAGGCATGGGGATGGGAGGCAAAAGGGATGAAGAATAGATGGCAATAGGAAGGGGACAAGGGGAGTGACAACATTAGTAGAAATGGAGTAATGGCGTGGGGGCTAAGAAATGGTAAATATTTGTGTTTGGGATGGGGGCTCTAGGATGACAACAGAGGATCAGGCATTATGCAAAAGAGCCTACTCCCTCTATCTGGGGCCTCAAACCACTATAACCACCACAACCACCTCCTCTCTAATCCTGCAGCACAGCCAAAGAAGCCTGGAGGGAGGGCACTGAAGGCAAATATGCAATAGCATCTTGATAGCCAGTATTCCTGCTGGACACATCTGAATAACTTGGGCAGAATGTACGTGGTGCCCAGGGAATTTGCAATACAGAGGGAAAAAAGCTCACACTATAATACACCAAATATTTCTCCCTAGCCTCTTTCCACCTCCTGCAGGTATGAAGACCCTTCACAAAAAGGCAGCTGCAGGGCAGCAAACCAGGGAAACTGTTGATCATCACATCAGATCTGCAAATATGAGGAAGAAAAAGACCTGTCAAAAGAAACAGAGGGGCAGACCTTCATCCCAGCCTCGAAGGAACATAGTGGGCTGCAGAATTTCACATGGATGGAAGGAAGGTGATGAGCCCATCACTCAGTGGAAAGGAACCGTTCTGGATCAGGTGCCTATCAATCCCTCTCTTTATCTGGTCAAATATGATGGAATTGACTGTGTCTATGGACTGGAACTTCACAGAGATGAAAGGATTTTAAAGCTTAAAATCCTTCCTGATAAGGTGCCATTTTCTCGAGTCAGAGATGTGCACCTTGCAAATACCATAATTGGTAAAGCTGTGGAACATATGTTTGAGGGTGAGCATGGTTCTAAGGATGAATGGAGGGGAATGGTCTTAGCCCAAGCACCTATCATGAAAGCCTGGTTTTATATTACCTATGAGAAGGATCCTGTTTTATACATGTACCAGCTTCTAGATGATTACAGAGAAGGAGACCTCCGTATCATGCCAGAGTCCAGTGAGTCTCCTCCAGCAGAGAGGGAGCCAGAAGGAGTTATAGATGGCCTCATAGGTAAACATGTGGAATATACCAAAGAAGATGGCTCCAAAAGGACAGGCAAGGTCATTCACCAAGTCAAAGCCAAACCCTCTGTGTATTTCATCAAGTTTGATGATGATTTCCATATCTATGTCTATGATTTGGTGAAAAAGTCCTAACTGTTAGGGTAAACTTTGCCACATTTGTGGAGGCAAAAATATGTTTTGGATACACACAAAAATGTTACTTTTCAGTGCATTTAAACTTAAGGATCCCTTTTAACCCAAAATCTTAACCAGCATAACTGTTACTTGTTCTGAAAAATACAATTGTATATGGACATGACATACTGTGTAAGGAATTTGTCTTGTTGAAAAGATTGGGTGTGTTTGGTGGATGGAGCATGAAAGGGACAGCTGTAAATGCAGGCTATGGATAAACTTAGGCTACTATCATAATTAGTCATCTAAAAAAGGAATAAGAATTAGCTGATCTGGTCTAGAGAGGGAGGAGGAGAAGGAACTAGAGATGGCCTCTGGGGGGAGGGAGAAGGGGAGGTGACTGCTTAGGAAGAGGTGGGGCAGAGCCAGAAATGGAGAGGCTCTCTGGGGGAGAGATGACCTAAGAGAGAGGCACCCAACTGGGAGGGGGTGGAGAATTAACAGAGAGAGTGAGGTCTTGGGGCTTAGAGGAAAACAGAATACCTTGAGAAGAAAGGGAGACAAAGAAGCTTTGAAGAGGTCCAGAGCGAGGGGGAGAAACAATTTGGTAGGAATCTGGAGAGGGGCTAAAGGATACTCAAAAGGAGGGTCTCTGCATGAGTAAGGAGCCAGAAGGGGAGGAACACTGAGGAAGAAAGAATTCCACAGAGAAAGACTGATAGAGGAAGTGAGAACACAGAAAAGGAGGTATGGGGAGTGGGGCTCGTGAGAGATGGGGAGGCCCAGGAAAAAGTTGGACTTCTGGCAGTATCCACATTGTTCTCCCTGGCTCTGTGCAGAAAGGATGTGACAGTTGTCAAAGAACCAAATGGATTGGAAGTTCCCTAGAATGGCATTTTGACAAGGATGACTCAAAAGTTAAGCAGGAGCCAACTTTATACCTAAAAGCCTTTTCCTACTTCAGGGAGCTCATGCCACACCTGCCGAGTAGAACCCTAAACCTTAGCCTAAACACACTGACCTGACACCCCATGAGCAGGGGGCTGTGAACAACCTCCTCACTTTTCCCAGAGGACCCAGGTGCAGTAAATCTTGGACCTGAAATTCTTGGTTCATCCCCCTATGCTGGATAAACTGTTCTTGTGGGGAATGGGTCAGCGGGGTGCTCAGGACTTAAGAGATGTGCCACCTTGGGATTGGAAAGTATTTTATCAAAAAAAAAAAAAAAAAGGAACCTTGCTGAACACAGGTACAGGAGTCCCCTCGCTGTTCTTTCCCCTACTGGACTGTGCCTTGCCTCCCTATAGAGGAGGGGCATCAGAGGATTAAGCCTAATGTTTCTCTCCAGGACATGGGGAGTACTTGACAGTCCATGCTTCTCTCAGCAGCTGCCTGAAACCACAGGTGGCTCCACCCAATGCTTCACTGAATGGAGGTCTGCTGCCTCCAGAAGCCCCATTCAGGCTATACCCTGACAAAGCTGGTGGCTACCGACCCTTCACAGGTACATCCTGGCCAGTCTTGCCCATGGAAGTTTGCGCAGTTCTGTTTCCAGGTGAGATGAATGGCATGGAGCAGTTGGGCTGGGAGTTGTGACTTTGTATAACTAACTCCTTCAACTGTATAATGCCACATAGAGGGGTGGTGGATTGTGGGGAGAGGGTGAAATAATCCCAATAAAGTCCCTCAGAAATACTGTGTCCTGACACATTGGGTCTGTGTTCTCTTTTTCTCCTCCCTCCTTGCCTTTCTCCAGTCCTGCTGTGGAAGTTTCCTTCAAAACCCTCTCTCTGGTTTCCCTACCTCACACTTCACTAAAATATACCCCTGCCCTCGAAGAAGATATAAGGTGACCCCACTGCCCAGCCTTCCCTAACTCCATGCATAGGAGGGAGAGGGAGAGGCAGAGAGCTTCCAGAAGTCAAAAGGTGGTAATTCCATTTCATTCTTTCCACCCAACATAACCTGAAGCTGTTTGCTTCAAGAAATACAAAAAGCAAGCCCACCTCAGCATAGCAGGCATTAGTTTTCTTTCATACATCACAAAATTCAGTCTGACAAAATACCTGCTGGCCACCCATTGGCCAATTTCAGCCAGCTATCATGTTTTGTTTGATCCTGATGTTTTCATTTGTTATTTTTAAATTAGCTACTGAGACATGTGGGAAATTTCACATTAAAAAATCCATAATTCTGACCTGCCTGAAAAAAAAAAAGCAATAAACTGAGGATTAGAGCCCATATTCCAGCAAGGATACATGCAGGTGGGTGTGAGGAAGGGCTCAGCCCATTTTAGACTCTGAATGCTCTCTCAGCTTGGCCATACCTCTAGTTGGCCTGCTTCACTCCAATAAAAATCCCAGTTGTCCCCTAGAGGCATTTGCCTTTACAGTTTTGGAGCTAGATCCATGGGAAACTGCCTAGCCTCCCTTTTGCCTTACTTTCTCCCCATTTGCCTTTGAATTCATTTGTTTTATCTTTGTCCTCCAATACTTATTTTAGGTGGGCTCTCTGCCAGGGAGTCTTCTAGGGACAGGTACTGATGATATAGTAATGAACAAAAAAAATAAATAAAATAATCTTAACCTCATGAGACTTACATTTTAGTGTGGGAGACAGATAGTAGCCAAGATACAATAAGTAAAATACAAAGTATTTTCAAAGTGGTAAGTGTTAAGAAGAAAAAATAAATAAGACAAGGAATGGAAAATAGGAACTTCAGGTTAAAAGCTGAAATTATACCAATAGGGAGTCCGGAGAAGGTCTCACTGAGAACATGACTTTGGAGTAAAGACCTGAAAGCAATTAGAGAACTGGCCCTGTGGCTATCTGGGTAAGGAACATTCCACATAGAACAGCAAGTGTTGAGGCTCCAGCCAGGAGTAATCTTGGCATGTTCAAGGAATACTGAGGATACCAGCATTGCTGAAACTGATTGAACAAGGTAGAGAATATCAGAAAGTGAGTTCAGAGAAGTGATGTGGATCTGGGAGAAGCAGATAGCTTAGAGACTTTAAGGTCCTAGAATGAAATTTGGCTTATACACTGAATGTGATGGGGAGCCATTTGAGTATTTTTAGCATAAGCACGACTTAATTTGTCTCATATTTGAACAGGATCACTCTGGCAACTCTGGAAAGTAATGTGTATGGAATTCAAAGATGGAAAAAGGGAGTTCAAATATACTAACAAAACAGTGGAAAGCCCTAGAAATAAGTTTGCATATAGGAAACTTGAATCATAATAAAAGTGACATTTCACATGAATGATGAAAAGACATTTTATTCAATAAATGATGCTGCAACAATTTTTTTGTCATATGCCAAAAAATAAACCCCTAACACAGATAATACATTCCAAGTGGGAAAAAAAGGTAATACTTCAATTTGGAAAGTAACACTTATAAAACTTTAAAAATATAAAATAGAAGGGGCACCTGGGTGGCTCAGTCATTAAGCTTCTCCCCTCAGCTCATGTCATGTTCCCAGGGTCCTGGGATCAAACCCCACATAGGGCTCCCAGCTCAGCAGGAAGCCTGCTTCTCCCTCTCCCACTCCCGCTGCTTGTGTTCCTGCTCTCCCTATCTCTCTCTCTCTGTCAAATAAATAAATAAAATATTCTTAAGAAATTTAAAAAATTTAAAAAATAAAATACAAAATAGAAGTTGATATTTATATTTTTTCCTATGAAAATGCGTAAGATTTCATTTCAAGACAAAAAACACCACAGGTATTAAAGGAAAAATCTAATAAATTTGATTATTTTAAAATAGACATGTTTTCATATTCCTATACATTTTATTCATTTTCATATTGCATATTTTAAAATATGCAAAATTTCAAAAACCATCATATGCAAAGTGGAATAAAATGAGATTAAGCTACAAATTTTGATAGTTAAAATGAATGAAATAACAAAACTACATTCAATGATAAAAAAACAAACAGTCCATAGGAAACTTGGCAAAAAATATGAACAGGCAATTCACAAAGAGATCACATGATCAAAAAACATATATTATCTTAATCTGCTCCCCATTACCTTATTGTATCTTTTCTATAACATATGTCATCTTCTAACATACTATATAATTTACTTAGTTAATATATATATTGTTTTCCTACCAGAATGTAATCCTTGAAAGTGCATGATTTTCCTTGCTTTGTACTCACCAATGTATTTCAAGTTCCTATGAGAGTACCTGGAATATAGTAGGTGCTTAATATATATCTGTTGACTATATGAATCTCATCATCAAATACAAAAATGGTAATTAAAATAACATGTTTTCACACACATCAGATCAACAGCATATGTGAAGTTGGAAAATATGTATTGACCAGTTAAACAAGTGGCATATTCCATCCGCTGTAGGTGAGTGTTTAATCAGAGAGAAATTTGCCATTATCTAGTGATTTTCAAGATGGCATATTTCCAGCAATTTCACTCTTGTATATTGATGGAAGGCAATTTTGTATGTATCTCATATGTTTTTGCACATTTTGCAAGCAAGACACTGACTGTTCTTTTTTTAAAAGCTATCTTTGGAAGATGTTTGAATGGGAAACTGCTTTGGAAGATAAAGACAGGATCTCTCTCTGAAGTAAAGAGCAAGTTTGCTTAGAATGTTTGGAAGTTAGAGAGTGATTCCCTCTGGAGCAAAGTACAGGAATGCTTTTTCCAATAAAATATTGTCTTCTTCAAGAACAAACAGAAAGGATGCTTCCTGCTCATTATAAAAGTCTGAAGTTTCCACACGGAGGTTTCCTCCATTGTAATGCAACCTACCTTATATGTAGTGTCATGTGACAAATTTGCATCACCCTATGGAAAGTGGGACTCAGTTTTCTAGGATAAAAATGCTGATATTCAGACAATTGCTATTACTGCAAATAATGAACTACCCTTTGTCTCTGACTCAGAAGTCTCATGTTTTCTTCGGGCACCCAAGAAACAATGGCAGATTACATCATTAGCTCACAAATAATTTTATAATCTTCACAGTTCTTGATACTTGTAGCAATGAGGATAGGATGCTGATAGAAGCATGGCTTTCTGTAAGAGGAAGAATGAAGACCTCACCAGATAATTAATGGAATTTGAAGGTAATTTATGTGAATTGGTGGTGAATTACAGACAAGCTATGAATAAATACTCTTCCCTCTTTAAATGAAGAGGAATTGG